GCTTTGGCTGTACTTCTCTTTTAACTATAATGAATGCACCAAGTAGTTATCTGAAGAGTGTTTGCCATAAGAAGTTCTTGTTTTTTTTATAGATCAAAAGAGAAAAAAAAAAATCAAGTCGGCCTTCACAGGTCACTGTAACATGAACCTTTAAAGCATGTAGTAAAGTAATAACAATTTGTTGTAGCTAATTGAGTGTGGTTAATGGCCTTCTATAAGGAAATGTTAACAGCAGACCGATTATTGTACGTTGAATCGATGGCATACCAGGAGATGCATGGCTGGATTTGGAGCCAAGAGATAAATGTGTTTGGACCTAAGACTTGTACAATAGATTGTCTGTAGAAAATAAATACTTCTCCATTACAGCTTCACTCAGCATTGACTTGGAGGGGAGGATTAAGAAGGTGAGTGGAATCAAGAGGGGAAAAACTGTCAAGGCTTATGCTAGCGAGAAGACTGTAAATTCGTATTTACAGAAAAGATTAGATTTAAGGAAAAGCAATCACTGATGGGCATTAGTAGTGATAAATCTTAATTTGTGTTTTAATTGTGCAGCCTTAACACTTATTGCTTTTCACCATTAACTCATATTCTCTCCCTGCCAAAGCTGAATGTCAGGTTGTATGGCTGTTCTTCTGGCTGCCTCTTAACAGACACTTCATTAGGCCCCTATCAGACTGGCACAGACCGTCAACGGATCTGCTTGCTCAGTGGGGGATCTCTCCGCTGATCCTCTCGAGCAAGTGGATGACAGGTCTGTGTACGCTTTCAAATTTTGAGTGATCTGGCATGTTGAAATTTTTCAAGCATTGTCGTAATCCGATGGTGTCACCATTGATTAAATAATTTGACCAAAACCAAGCCTTTACATTTCACATGACAGACACTCTTAGGCCCCTATCAGACTGGACAGACCCGTCAACGGATCTGCTTGCTCAGTGGGGGATCTCTCCGCTGATCCCTGCTGAGCAAGTGGATGACAGGTCCGTGTACGCTTTTCGAAATTTGAGTGATCTGGCATGTTGGAAATTTTTTGAAAAACAAACAAATTTCTAATCAATGATGGGAGAATTGTGTGAAAAATGTAACTGAAAAAGAAATGACCATGAGCTGTAACCTGGAAAGAAAAGAAAATTCTTGGCCACAATTTTTTTCTCTGTAGCAACATGAGGTGAAATTAAAGGCTTGGTTGGTCAAATTTTTTTTAATCAATGGTGGCACCATCGGATTACGAAATGCTTGAAATTTCTGATTTTCTAAAGAAACAATTGAGTACTGTCCGTGATACTTTTTTTATTTGCACTAACATACAATTTTGAGGACAAGCTTTCAGGGAGTGTCCTCTTCTTCAAGGTCCAAGCTGTACTATACAAATCACAAAGTTTTAGCAGAATGTTAGAAGAGATAAAAAAAAAAAAATTTTCTAAAATTTTTTTAAATTTAAATTTACATTTTTCTAAAGAAAATTTGTTTTGACCAATGCATGACCAGCATTTCTTCACCATGTCCAATTAAACCTTGACAATAACCCTAGGTTCACATCTATGTGGGTGGTGCCGCTGCGAATCCGCATGAAAATACGTGCGGCCGCACCACCCGCACAGAGAAATGCGGGACCCGCGGGCGGGTGCCATTAGTTCTAATGGCACGCCGCCCGTACTGGAAAACACAACCATACTGGGAACCGAGGTTCCCATGCGGGCTGTGTTTTACAAAGAAGTGCAGGGACTTATTTCCCTGCATGTCACAGGCACGGTAGTCCATTCAAATGAATGGGCTCTGTGCCCATGAAAAATGCGTCCCGCACGGCCACATAGATGTGAACCGGGGGTCAAACCTGGAAGCTGATTGGTTACTATGCACAGCTGCACCAGATCCTGTGAGCACCATTTTTACTAAATCTCCCCCAATATGTCTTTTTTTTTTTTTTTTGTAGAACACGCTGAACTGAACCAATAGGACATACGGCAAGATGCCTTTTTTTGGCTTGGGACTGTGTTGGGCAACGCAGCCCAGTGCAGCCCAACACAGCCTGCTGGTGTGAACGAGTTCTTAAGGTGTTCCTCGTTTCTGCATGGAGTACAACTTTAAAAATGTGGTATGAAATCCTCATAGTAAATGGTGCTCAAAGCACAGTTGTCAGCGTGCTGTAAATGTCTATGTTGTCATTAGGAGCCATGCTGGTCATTTCTCTGAGACTGCGCCGTCGCCTTTTTAGATGCAAAGCTGATAAAAACATGCCGGCTCCACAAACATACTGCTGGCTGAACACGTTTCTCTGACACCTCCTCCCTGCCTTCTACTGCTGAATCAACCCCGGTCTAATTTCATGTCTGGAAATTAATTACACCTGCCTCACATATTACGGACAAGGAAGCATTTACAGAGGAATTTCTGCCATGAACAAACAAAGTTGAATTAGCTCCTCTTAATCCGAAAAAATCAGGATCTAGACACACCAAAAGTCAAACGTGATCTGCATTAACCATTGGATTTTGTATCCCTCTGATATTTTTTTTTCCTGGGCTACAATCAAAACTTCTATTTTCTGTATCATATTTTGGGGGAGGGGTCAATCTAACTGCCATTTTAACAATTGACCTACGGAAAGTTTTACTCCCATCATGACCATGGCATATTTTTTTTTTCAGCACTGTGCTAGCAATTGTGCTGTCAAGCTCTGTACCCAAATCTATTTTATCATTTTTTCCATAAATACAGCTTTCTTTTGGGGAGGGTATTTGATCAGATTCACCATTTTTTTTTTACTTCAATTGACCTAAACAAAAAAAATAATATATTTTCTACTTTCTCTTATAAAACATATCCAATAAAATCAAATGTTGCTTTATAAATGCAGTCAAAATGTATTCTGCTACATGGCTTTGGTAAAAAAAGTCCCAATAATGTGTATTGGTTTGTGTGACAGTTATAGTGCCTAGAAACTATGGTGTGTGTGTATATATATATATATATATATATATTATTTATTATTATACAGGATTTATATAGCGCCAACAGTTTGCTCAGCGCTTTACAATATAACGGGAGACAATACAGTTCAATACAAGGGGGATAAGAGGGCCCTGCTCCTTGGAGCTTACAATCTAAGATATATACTGGAATTTACGCAGCAATAGACACTATACTAATAATGGCAGTGATAGTGTTGCAGGCAATCTGGCACTGACACTGGCTGGGACACTGATGTCTCTAGTGACACTATACTAATAATCGCACTGACCAGCGACTGATAGTGTGGCGGGCAATCTGGGGCTAACTGACACTGGCTGGGACACTGATGTCTCTAGTGACACTGTACTAATGACACTGACTGGGAAGGGGTTAGCATCAAGAGGCAATCAAGGGGTTAACTGTGTGCCTAACAAGTGTAATGTGTGCTGCTTTTACTTTTCTCCCTGCTTTTTGGGGAGGATAAACAGCCAGATCACTTTTCAGTGTTTGTAAACACAGAACTCTGCTGTTATCGGCCACAGCCAATTAGGTTTACAGCCAAAATCATTGGCTGAAACTTGCTGACAAACTCATGCTGTGCAATCATAGCACAGGTGAGCAGGGGGTGCGCGCATGCGCACCCGCAACCCGAAAGAAAGGCTGCCATGTATGGGTATGTTGCCTAGCCTGGCTGTGCTGTAGATGTACCGTGGGTGGGCAGCAAGCTGTTAAATATGCATATCATATAGGAATCAAACAAGCATGCACAGCTATCAGTAAGGGGGCGGTGTTAACAAGTTTTTGTTTGTGGCAGATTTACCGTATTTTTCACTCCATAAGATGCATCTGACCATAAGACGCGCCTAGATTTTAGAGGTGAAAAACAAGAAAAAAATATTCTGAACCAATGGACTGCAGACATAGTACAGAAAATGACCAGAGACTGCAGACACAGTACAGAAATGACCAGAGACTGCAGACACAGTACAGGAGATGACCAGAGACTGCAGACACAATACAGGAGATGACCAGAGACTGCGGACATAGTACAGGAGATGACCAGAGACTGCAGACATAGTACAGGAGATGACCAGAGACCAGACATAGACAGGAGATGCCAGAGACTGCGGACAGTACAGGAGATGACCAGAGACTGCGGACAGTACAGGAGATGACCAGAGACTGCGGACAGTACAGGAGATGACCAGAGACTGCGGACAGTACAGGAGATGACCAGAGACTGCAGACCTACTACAGGAGATGACCAGAGACTGCGGACATAGTACAGGAGATGACCAGAGACTGCAGACCTACTACAGGAGATGACCAGAGACTGCAGACCTACTACAGGAGATGACCAAAGACTGCGGACACAGTATAGGAGATGACCATAGACTGCGGACATAGTTCAGGAGATGACCAGAGACTGCGACATACTACAGGAGATGACCAGAGACTGCGGACACAGTACAAGAGATGACCAAGAGACTGCAGACAGTACAGGGGATGACCAGAGACTGCAGACAGTACAGGGGATGACCCAGAGACTGCAGACAGTACAGGGGATGACCCAGAGACTGCAGACAGTACAGGGGATGACCAAGAGACTGCAGACAGTACAGGGGATGACCAAGAGACTGCGGACCTTTGGGGAGGGAGGGGGAGCGGGTACCTGAATTTGACAGGTACCCGTTCCCACTTCTGTGGGATTTTAGAGGTGAAAAACAAGAAAAAAATATTCTGAACCAATGGACTGCAGACATAGTACAGGAGATGACCAGAGACTGCAGACCTAGTACAGGGATGACCAGAGACTGCAGACCTAGTACAGGGATGACCAAGAGACTGCAGACATAGTACAGGAGATGACCAGAGACTGCAGACATAGTACAGGAGATGACCAGAGACTGCAGACCTACTACAGGAGATGACCAGAGACTGCGGACATAGTACAGGAGATGACCAGAGACTGCAGACCTACTACAGGAGATGACCATAGACTGCGGACACAGTACAGGAGATGACCATAGACTGCGGACAATCTACAGGAGATGACCAGAGACTACGGACACAGTACACAGAGATGACCCAGAGACTGCAGGACAGTACAGGGATGACCAGAGACTGCAGACAGTACAGGGGATGACCCAGAGACTGCAGACAGTACAGGGGATGACCAAGAGACTGCAGACAGTACAGGGGATGACCAAGAGACTGCGGACCTCTGGGGAGGGAGGGGGAGCGGGTACCTGAATTTGACAGGTACCCGTTCCCACTTCCGTGGAGTTGTCATCCCTTTAGTGTGGGCAGCCGGGTGCCCACTGCGCATGCGCGAGAAGCACTGAGCTTTGTGAATAGCCGGCATCTTCTGGGACCTGTCATGTGTCCCAGAAGACGCCAGGCCATTCACAAAGCTCAGCACTTCTCGCGCATGCTAACTGGGCCCCCGGCTGTCACAGCTGGGTGCCCACACTAAAGATGCCGGCGTGGGAAGACTATACAGCGCTGGACCGAAGAACAGGTAAGGTTCTGCTGCAGAGAAGAGCCGAGCGGCTGGCCCAGTATTCTGACACGGTGGCGGCGGCGAAAATACCGGACCGGCCGCTACATATTTGCTCCATAAGACGCACTGACATTTTCCCACCTTTTTTGGGGGGAAAAAGTGCGTCTTATGGAGTGAAAAATACGGTACTTATCTTCCAGTTCAAGTCTTTGGAAATACAAAAGCAACTTGCATCTGTTTTTGCAGATCAGAAGGTGTTTAACCATAGGAATACATAAAGGAGCACCAGATCAAAAACCAAATGAAGCAGTCCAATATCATTTTAATTAATTCAATTTAATTTGTAAAAAAAGTCATAAAAAAACAACCAACGCGTTCAAGGGCAACACCTTCATGGACTCAGGGAACACAGTGACTTCACAGAACTATATTAGAACCAGTACTGAACTCTCATCATGGAGTAATACCTTAACAGCAGTTGCGGAGTAATACCATAACAGTAGTTGCAGAGCAATTGCCAGCAATTAAAATGATCTTGGACTCTTTCATCTGGCTTTGGTCTGGTGCTCCCTTGTGTCTTTCTAAGGTTTGAGCTACTGTTGGGTGCCCATCTATGTGAGAGCCACCTCACCAGAGCTATTGAGCTTGTTTGAAGTTTTCCTTCATCTGATTACTCATGCAAGTCTAGAAGTCTTACTGCCTTTTTGAGTATGTTGTGCTGTAGAAGGAGTTCATAGATTCAATTAATTTTTATTAAAATATTAAACAAAAATACAAAGTTGTTAGCTGGCAACTCGATTGCTTCCAAGTATTGTATCTTTATTGGTTACAAAATATCAGTACAGGTTCTACAGGTGCTAATGCGTTTCAGAGAAAGCCTTAGTGATAAGGCTTTCGCCAAAACGCGTTAGCACCTGTAAATACTGTACAGATATTTTGTAACCAATAAAGATACAATACTTGGAAGCAATCGAGTTGCCAGCTAACAACTTTGAAGACAACATTGAGACAAGTGAATGTTTTGGCCTCCAGTTCTCATTAACACAGTGGTTGAGCTTGGGTGACTCTGATTTAATTAAAAATCGTTTATGTCTGGGGGGGGGCCTCCTTTACTCCCCCATGCTCTGGTAATGGTCTGCACTTGGTGTCCTCACATCCAGTGCAGGGCTGTGGGCTCTGCATTGTACTTGATGGCCTGAGAAGACCTGTGACTGCCAAAGCATAAAGGAGAAGAGGCTGCAGGGATTGAATTCACAGCCTGAAGGAAGTCTGTGGCAGCAGAGGATCGGGTTAGTAAACCTGATTTTTACGGCCCTCTGTCCTTGCAGTGCAGGGACAGCTCCACACAAGAGGCCATTTTTCCTTTCCCTGGAGTTCAGCGTTAATGTAAAAAAATTCTTGGGATTTTTTTACCAGTGTTGCAGGAAACACTGTTCCTGACTCCCACAACAGCTGTTTAGGTTACCATATGTCTGGTTATTAGGTCACCCAATTTAAGCTAAAGGGACGGTGCACCTCAAAGCTGCTAACTGGCTGAATGTCTGTCAGTTAAGCCATGTAACCTGAGATGATATGACCAACTGACAACAAATGACCAAATAATTGAGCACTTGGTTACATGTAGGCATGATTTACAAAGATTTGTTTTTTTTACCATTTACCATGTAAAGGAGGCATTGTGACCAGAATTGAGTGGAGGATCATTTAACAATAACTTGCTTTAAAAATGCACTAGTGGCCAAACTATGGAGAGAAAAGCATTTATATATTCTTAACAAGCAATAGATGAGCTTTAAAACAAGCTCTCACTGATCTCTGCAGCTGTAGGCAGTGAGGAGTAATTCATCCTTAAAGAGGAACTTTGCATCCCACAGTATTTTTTTTCTTTCCACTCTTACCTGGTTGCCTGAGTTATATCCGCAAAACACATACTCACATATCCAGTGAATCCAGTATTGCTCTGCTGTAATCCAACGAAGGCTGCTGCACTCCCATGCTGCCATCTTCTTTGCGTCATTCAGAGCCTGTTGTCTATTCTGGATTCTTACAGCAATGACATGCAGCTGCACATATGCAGTTTGTTCTACATTGCCATTGAAGCTTCCTGGGATGTGATGTGTGTGTTCCAGGAGGCTTTAGGTAGCTGGGGACATCATTCTGACTTAGGCTCCCCCCCCCCCCCCCCCCCCCAAAAAAAAGAAAAAACTTAGAAAAAAAATATATGGGGGGCAGGAATCTTTAAAGAGAAAAAGAAGAATGTGTGAAGGACTTTAAAGCCCAACTCTGAGAAACTTGCAATTTCTCCCTTGCAGCGGAGCTGCAGCTGCTTGTTTATGGCTAGGGGACATAGAAAGATGATTTACTAAGCTGATTGTCTGTTCCTCCACGCTGCTAGACCAGTCCCAGCAGCGTCTTCTCCCCCCATGGTTTTGATGTCATTAAGAGAGATCCATAGTCTGCATTGGATGTAATAATGACACCGAGGAACAATCCACAGCCATAGAGCATAGGTGAGCACCATCTGCCAGGGAAATGGAGGAATAAAAGTAAATGTGCTTTTACTCTCCCCTAGAATACATGCGCTTAGAATACAGCTTCTGAATCTGCTGTTTGCTTACATTAGAAGGCTGACAAGGTCCTAAGTCTCTTCCAGAGAAAGCAAGAGGAGATGAGTAAGGCCTCTTTCCCATGGCCGGTTAGGTGCATTCTCCAGGTTCAAAACAACATCTTAATGACCTTTGTAGCTGCAGGCACTGTGTAGAGATTCATCCTCAAACTCACAATAGAAGCATTGAAATCATAAGGCACCTTTTAGGCGGCCGTTTATGTGCAATTTCCTGATTTCAGCAACAGATTTTTGCGGTTGGAATGACCAGGACATATGAATAGCAGCGTCCGCTCATCCTGTAGAAACTAATGAGAGGCTGACAACGGCCAATGCTGTAGCTGCACACCTGTGGATGTCGGAGTCTGAATGCAGTCAGCTCTATCTAGGCTTGGACATCCACAAGTAAATGCTTGATGTGCGGCTACATGCAAACAACGGTCAGCCTCTCATTAGTTTTATAGACTGAACGGCTGCTGCTATTTTCATGTTCCGGTCATTCCAGCTGCAAAATCTGCAGCTGCAATCCGGATATTGCACCCAAACAGCTGTGTGAAAGTGGCCTATTATTTCAATGATTCTTTTGTGAATTTGAAGATGAATCTCTCCAGAGTGCTTGCAGCTACAGAATAAGAGTTTGTTTTAAAGCTGAATGCTAAACATATGTGTCTGTTTAAATGCCCATAGAATGGCCACATGTTCACATTAAAATATCTTGCCTTGCATTCTGTTTCAGATTTCCATGAACAGATGTGAATCCAAGGCATTTTTCGGGAGTGATGAGTGTATTTTGGACATGAAGTCCAGGGATAACATATTGGTTACATTCATAGATCTTAGTAGCGGTGTAACCCATCTGTTCCTTGACTGGAGTTTACATGATGTAAAGGAGATTATAGCGGGACGGAGAATTTGCCAGGAATGCCAGATAGAATCATTAGTAGACATTTGGAAGGGAAACAGAGAAATTCCTCTCTCAGAGCTCCTCATTGTGTCGATGACATTTCTCTATCAGATAAATGCTTTTGGCACAATTCTCTCTGCATTTGATGTAAGCTCTAAATGGTCATTTTAATACAGACGTTGAATAAAAAAAACCAACAAATAACATACTTAATGTGGATAGTTTTCAATGCCTTTTCTCTACTGCTAAGCTCCATATTATGTAGTCATAATTGCCAAGGACAATTAGAATGTAGTATGTCTACATTTTAGTATGAGCTCTGATTTAAAAATAAGTATTTCTCTTTGCTGAATTTGCAAATATAATAACCTTTTCATATTAACAGTAAAACTAGAGTATATTTTCAGGAAGTACAATTGAAACCCCAGGTAAAAATATTTTTCTAGGAGTTTTTTATAATAAATTTATAATAGTATAATAAATATTTATTTTTAAATTTGCTGTGTGCAAGTATGAGCATTCACACAGAAGTTGCAAATAACATCCGTGCACATGTTTTTATATGCGTAAAATGTTATTTTTTTTATATTTCCATTGTCTTTCGCAGGATGAACGTAACATTTAGTCCTAGGAGATAGTCTAAGAAGATTCAACCAGAAGAGAAATTAGCCTAAATACAATCAAATAAAAAGAGTCTAAAATAGCCTAGTCCAGTGGTCTCCAAACTGCAGCCGGATGCGGCCCTTTCCTTGCTTTTTTCCGACCCTTGGTGCATTATTTTATTCACTGATACCAACAATGAGGCATAATTCCCCCCACTGTCACCAAGTAAGGGGCACAATTCCTTCCAATGACACCAATGATGGGCACAATTCCTCCGAATGACACCAACGATGGGGCACAATTTCCTCCGAATGACACCAACTATAGGGCACAATTCCTCCCAATGACACCAACTATAGGGCACAATTCCCCAATGACCCAACTCAAATGACACCAACGACGGGGCACAGTTCCTCCCTCTGATGCAAACAATGGGTCGCAATTCTTCCCATTGACACCAAAAATGGGACACTGTCCCTCCCACTGACACCAAAGATGGGGCACTGTCTATTCTCACTGATGCTGAGACATTTTCTACTCCCAATGGCCACAGTTCGGCCCCTCTAAAGTCTGAAGGACAGTAAACTGGCCCTTTGTTTAGAAAGCTTGGAGACCCCTGGCCTAGTCAATCAAAATTAACCTAAAACATTAGCCAAGAACAGTCAACCAGAAGAGAAAATAGCTAACACAATAGCCTAATAACATTCAACAAAACAATAGGCAAAAATATTCG